GCAGGAAATCTTGGCGCAGAATTCTGGAAGTGCTGTGACTCACAGCATCTACGATGAAGGGATCATGCCTTCCTTGCAGAACAACAACTATATAATTAGCATAAATTAGCAAAAATGAACTTCAAACCTGAAGCAAATACGGCCAACTCAATACAGGAACAGTGAATTTAAGGCAAAGCTGTAGTAAAGAAAAAAACTTCACTTATTTTCTAAGAGTTGGAGTTACAAAGGGCCAAGATTTCTATTGGAGGGGAACTAATCTTGTGTTTGGGACTCCTGTTTCTTAGTCAAGGCCTTCATTTATAGAGTAATCCAAATGAAGAAGCTGAGATGAATCCAACTGTTTCTTGAGTAGTGGGTCAGAAAGATTGGCTATGCCCTGGATATAGACTTTGCCTATGTCATACCTCTAATCAATTAGCAGTCTGGTGAAAACAGGTAAAAAAACATCTGTAGCCTGATTTATTCTTGGCAAACCTATGCAGGCTCCCAAGGACCACTCCATCCCTTGCTTTTCCTCATTGTGAATGAACCATTGTTGAATTGTTTTTCCTCCCACAGAAATGGGTGAAGATAATCACAATTAGTACCTATAGCTCCGAGATGGAAAATCTAGCCTCCTCCCTACATTTGTTTGTTCAGTCATCCATTTAACAAATGTTTGAGTGTCTTTTATGCTTCTCTGAGGGTCTTATTCATCTTTGCGCTGCTTCTGGTAGTGCCCAGAAGGCTCGTTAAATAACAGTTTTGGGAACTGAAGTGAAATTAAAGGGTTGTAACAGATTTAAAAAATTATATAAGGAACTAGAACTGATTGTCCTCTCCTTTTAAACTTATCTCTATTTTTGACCTTAAAAAAATGTTTTCTTCCTGAAATATCTGTCATGTTCTTGAGTGTTCAAGGTAATTTACTTTGCCTTTAATGCTTGTGAAGCAAACCTGAGCTGGATAGCCAAATTTTTGTTATACTATATCAAGTAACCTGTGGATTTAGAATCAACACCTGATTGTTTTTATTTTTGGCCTTAACTCATGCCATTCTGATTTAGCTGTCCCATTCTACCTCTTATTCTATTCAGAGGGTTTCTAGATCAACTCACTTTTTCAATGAGAAATAATTTTTATGAAACAGAGTCAGCTCACTGTCTTGAGACACTTATATATATGACTGCCTCTTTAATGCACATACTTGGTTGTCTATTAGGCACCTCAAACTTATCATGTTTAACTGAATTCCAGATTCCTTCTCTACATTGCTTTACCTTCCCTTGTTTTTCCTCATCTCAGAAATGGCAATTCTACTGGTCTAGTTCCTTATGTCTAAAACTGTGGGGCCACCCTTGGCTCTTCTCTGTCTCTCATACCCCTTATCTAATCAAACCAAAACTCCTGTCAGCTATACCTTCAAAATCTATCCAGAATCTGATCACTTACCACCCACACTATCTCCATCCTGGTCTAAACCACCATCATCTCTCTCCTGGATTATCATTATACTCCCCTACCAGGTCTTCCTGCTTCTGTCCTTCGCCCTGCAGCTATTTTCAATGCAGCAATCAGAGGGATTCTGTTAAAACATAAGTCAGATTTGTTCATTCCTCTGCTCAAAATCTTCTAATGGTTCCTCATCTCAGGCAATGTAAGGGTCTTTCCATTGGCCTACGAGGTTCTAGATTGGACTTTACTCTCTGATGTCACCTCCTTCCCTCTCCCTCTTGCTCACAATGCTCCCAGCCACACTGCTCTTTCTGCAACATGCCAAGTATTCTTGTGATTCAGAACATTTACATTTATTGTTCTCTCCTCCTCTCCCCCCCCACCAAAATATTTGCATGGTTCATACCTTCATTTAATTCAGGTCTCCTCTCAAATGTTCCCTTATTAGAGGGACTTTCCCTGGTCAAGTTATGGCATACCCCATCATTTTCTCTCCCTTTTAGCCCCACTACTGGTTTTCTCCACAGCACTTACCACTAATTCTGTTTATTGTCTGTTTCTTTACCCTGTAAATTAAGCTCTTTGAGGGCAACAAGAAATATTGATTGAAGGTCTACTATGTGCCAGGTCCTTTTCTAGGCAATGCAGAAGTAAAAGCAAACAAAACAGACAGATACCAATATCCTTATGGCATTTCCATTCTAGTGCTATATATGCTGCTGTGTTTTATCAGTAAATATTTGATAAATGTGTTGAATAAATATAGCATCCACTCAGCAGAGTAACAGAAAGGATTAAAAAATAAAGGAGGTTTGGATTGGGTTATCACCCTTTAACTCATTGGAGCACCCACCACGTCTAAAGAAATGGTTCTATAGTCTCTCAGGTGAAAGTCTGGAAATTTAATCAAATCCCAGCATCTACAGACATTCTATACTCTTGACTCGAAGGGACTCTTGGATTCCTACCAGCTATGCTGTTTAAAGAAAAAAAATCTGTGATGGCATGAGAAAGTTGGCATTGGCACAAAGTGACTAGAGTCTAATGACTGACTAGAGAATCACACCAGCAGGAAATTAGATAAGAAGTCTAAAAACTAGTAAGAGAGGCTTTACCCTTTACTAGAGAGAAAAACTATTTTGTATCAAAACAGAAAAACACCATAAGGAAGATCACTAGCAAAGATGCTGGTAGCCAGATTCGGATAAAGTGGTTTAGGAAATTGGAGAAAGCTGCCTTCTTTAACAGAAAACTTGGGAGGCCAAATGATGAGGTAAACTTTAGAAGTTATTGGACTTCCCCCTTGGAGAGCAAGGGAAGACCACACCCACTACATAAGGTGATATTGCTCTTCTCTTCTCCTTAGCAACCAGCAACCAGGAAATATGAAAGATTTCATGGTACTGGGAGTAGCCTCAGGGGAAGAGTCAAAGTTGGAAAGACCCACATGCATCAAAGGGTGAGGTGAATGGGAGAGGAAAGAGACTGGAACTCTCAGTTCTCAGCTTCCATGTAGCCTTCTGAAGGTTGAAAGCAGTATGAAAATAATAGGTACCATTTACTTAATAAACCACATTTTCTAGGCTTCAACTTGGTCATCAATTGTATGCAAAGTGTCTGCTCTAGAGAATCTTCTCACTGGTCCAGTCTAGTTCTCCATTCAAGGGCTCAATGCTACTGCCATCTCCATTGACAATATCACCCTACTTATCTTATTTCTCTGAGTCTCTTTTTTTAATCACAAGGTCCTTGTTCTGAGCTCTTTTTCAGACTTCATCCAGTTCTATTTCTTCTTGCCCCCACTGACAAAGTCTTGGCCCCATTTCTTTAATAGCTCATGCCTCTTAGAACTGCCTCCATCATTGGCCCTTACTCACATTGACAAATGTCAGCTTAAAAATCTCTTTTTCTTCTTTATAAAGTCATACTGCTTTGTAACCCTGAGACACATATCTTTGGAAGAGGTAGCCAGAACATGCTGTCTCTGAATCCAGATGGCTTTACAGCAGCTCAGAGCTGTGTTCTACAAACTCCTGAGCCAAACAGGTAGCATTCTGTCAATTGACAGAGTCATACTGAAATGGAGTGGTTCAAGGACCCTGCCCAGGAGCTAGGTCAACATTTTAGTATGTCTCACCAAATGCACTGCTGGTTAACCCAAGTCTATTGTACCCTCAATACAGATGGTTTTCATGGCACATCATAACCTAGCTGAAGAGGCAATCAACACCATCGACTTACATTATAAAGACAAACAATTTGCCAGGTATTAGTCTAGATTTTAAGGTTGAACAAAGAGAAATAAATTCCTGTCCTCAAGGAACTTACAAACAAACTCTAGAAGCTCTAGTTCATATTCGAGCATGGTAGCTGATACCAACATTGACATGATTATCATTGGAATTAATGTATCATGTAAGTACCACCATGTCACAACACTATGTCAATTCTAAGAATAGCACTGAATTCTCCTGGAGTCCTTAGTAGATATGGGATGTCTTCAGGAGAGATGAGGTCTTTATGGAGGGTGATCTTGAGAGATACAAATACTACCATGACTCTCAGGCATACTGTGAAATTATTGAAGGTATCTGGGGTTGCAGGAGAGGATACTGTAAAGTGTATTGAAGGACTGATTGGTAGGCTAGGCTGGAAAAACCTCCTGTGACCTTGAGTCTGTGGCCAATATATGAGATGATGAAGCACACTTGAGAAGGTAGTTCTCAGCGTACTCTCATGAACTGAGATATGATAAAGAATCACCCAAGTAGACTTACCATCTGCTCCTTCATTGCTTTTGCTTCTTTTATTGCGACGAACACGCCTACTTTCTGCTTCAGAGTATGCCTTTTCTTCAGGGAAGAAAAAATTCAGAAGGGCCATCTGTAAAAATAACAAGTAGATGAGTCAAAGGTTGATCCCAGTCAACCATAGCCAACATAAAAAAAGGAGTTTCCTGTAGGCAGTCTACTTTCATCTTAAATTAAGTATCTAAAGCCTGAGCCCATCTTCTCTTCCACTGTATAAATCCTTTTATTTTTGAGACCATTATTATTCTAATCAAGAAGGGATGACATTTTGGCTAGGCTCTGAATCCCCTTTCTTTTGCCTCAAGTATCTAATGAGTAAACCTTCAAGTCCCATTTTTACACATAGTTCTGTGGTTCAGAGTGCCCAGTCACGGATTTCTAACTTCCCAAAGTTAGAAATCTGCCCAAAATTAGACTTGAGTTTGCTACTTCCTTTTGGATTTCATTATTATATATCCATGATTTTCCTACATTCCTATTCATACTAAACTTTTGATTTGTTCCCAGAAGGCTGTGCATCCAATTATGATTGGAAGATACCCCTTGTGTCAATGCTCCTCTAGGAGTTAGACATGACAGAGTTCATGATTATTCTCTCCCTTTCCTAGACTCCTACAGCACTCGGGTCTATAAGACTCATTTTGGTACTTGATACTCTACTTTCTTATGATGATCTCTTATAATAATACAATATGTTTCATATGTGAATAGGCCTGATTTTGCTAATAATAATCACAGTTTAAATGTATACTTGCGGAAAAGAATCATAACATTTTAGCAAGAGTGCCTCTTAGTGGTTAAAAAATGTGCTTGAGATAAACAATAGACAGAGTAGTAGGACTGAGAGTGATTCTAATTCCAACTTTGCCATTTATAGTTATGTAACCTTGGGCAAGTTATTTAAGCTTTAATTTACTCATCTGTAAATAGGGATAATAAATAGTACTTTTGCTCATAAAATAGTTGTAGGGTTATTTAGCACAGTAGCCAGCATGTAATATGCACTCAATAAATGTTAGCTATTACTATTATTAAAATTAATCTTCAAAATAGACTGGTTAGATAGCTTTAGGGTTAGAAAAGAAGAAATGAACCTGCATTTTCACCCTAGTGTTAGTTAAAAGAATAAACAATTCCAGAATCCTCATGTCTGCTGCATCTCTTATTAATTGAAAAAAATGGGTAGAACTCAAGAAATCCTTAACATTCTATACAAACTTCCTTCAAAACGCTGTTATGATTTATTGTTTACATAGAACAATTATACCCAACAGCCTTAATGTACAAGATTAACATCTTGCAGAATATATTCATGTGTTAAATACAAGGTTAATAAATGAATGTTTAGGAAATCTCCAACTTGCCATAAAGTTAATTTAAAAACATTTAGATTGAACCATATGAAACCGTCATTGTTGTATGTTGAAGATGAATGAATATCAGCAATTTCATGTGGTTCAACTGAGCAGTCTTTTTGAGTCTCTTGATTGGAATGTAAAATGTATTTTCTCATAGAATCAAGTAATAAAGTCCAGCTAGGTTTCCAGATAAAGCCCATAGAAAGTTACTTAATGCACAACACAAATAAGCTATTATATTACTAATAATATAAACCCAAACCGCTATTTACAATAAAATCTCAATCATTTGCAACTCCAAAAGAACAAGTCATTCTGGATAGAAGAGTTTTTCTGATAACTTTGAGTGCCAAAATTTATTTTGAATAGAAATTGGTCTACAGTATACGATTTAACTCAGGGCTTACTGATTATATAGAAGACTATTTATATATTAAATAGCACAGGCCGCTATAGTTTTGAGGTTTTTTAAAAATTACAATTACTTTAAAGAGCAATACATGCTTTGTTAGAGAGAAACACAGGGTTCTCTGGGAGCGAGAGGGAAAGAACCTAATACAGACTGCAAGTGTCCAAGGCTTCTTGGAGGAGGTGCTTCCTCTGTGAGTCCTGAAGGATGTCAAGGATTTAGTGATAAATGGGAAACTGAAAAGGAATTCTAGGCAAAGAGAGCATTGTGTTAAAAGGTTTAGAGAAAAGAGAGAATAGCAGTTTTTAGAAATACAGGTAACTAGCTTAGAATATGCGGTAGGAGGTAAAGAGGAATGGTAAGGAATGAACCAAAAGACAGTAAATAAGGGCCAGATCACGTTAAGAAATTTAGACTTTTTCCTGCAGCAGGGGGTCTTCTGAAGGATTTTTTTCCCTTTGTAAATTTTTGTGCTTTATGAAAATTTGAGTTACAATCTATAGAATGCACACATTTAAGCATAAAATGCACACATTTTAAGCATAAACTTTTGAAGAGTTTATGCATAAACTTTTGAAGAGTTTATGCATTTAAGCATAAAATGCACACATTTTAAGCATAAACTTTTGAAGAGTTTTGAAAAATATATATACCTTTGTAACCACCACCAAAATCAAGATATAGAACATATTCATCACCCCAGAATTTGTCCCTTGTGCCCCTTATAGTCATTCTTCAGAGTGACTCTGTACCCCAGGCAACTACTATTCTAATTTCTATAACCATAGCTTACTTTTTTCTGTTCTAGAACTTCACATAAATGGAAGAATATAATATGATTGCATGATTTCTGTGTGTTTTTTGTTTCTGTCATTCAACATGTCTGTGAGACTCATCCATGTTGTTGTGGGCATCAGTAGTTCATTGCTTTTTATCGCTGAGTACTATTTTATTGTATGAATACACCACTTTTTTAATGCAGTCATCTGTTGAGGGATGTTTAGGTTATTTCCAGTTTGGGGCTATTATGAATAAAGCTGATATGAGCACTGATGTACAAGTCTTTGTGTGGACATATGTTTTCATTTTCCGTGAGTAAACACCAAGGGGCAGAACCTCTAGGTTACATAGTAAGCATTTGTTGTAAGGAACTGCCAAACTGTTTCCAGAGTGACTACCATTTAATACACCCAACAGCTCTGAACATTCATTACACTGATATTGTCAATATTTTTAATTTTAGCCATTCTTGTGGATGTGAAGTAGTATTCCATTGTGGTTGGTTTTAAAAATCTTAAGCTTCTTTTTAATGTTTTTTTTTTTTTTTTTGGTCTCTTACTTTGCTGTCAACTATCAGATTTCACTTTACCTACCTGTAGCATCTTTTCTAGTCTCTTCAAATTTCCTGCTTATAATCTGCTATAGGCTTGACATCTTGTTAAATCTAATTAGAACAATGTACAAATGGAATAAACAGGCAGTCAATGGGTTTTGAATGACTTTTCCAATAAGTCAGATGCAGATTCTCTGGTGGCTTAAAAGCCATTTGTTTGTTGCTAGACAGGTGAATGTGTCAGATAACTGAGTTTTACACGGGTGTGTTATTACAGTATAATGCTATTTGTAGGGGAAAGGAATTTTGAAATCCAAATGAAGAACCTCCCCACAATCACAACTACAGTTCCATAATTCCCTTCATACTCTTTGTGTTCTCTCATGGGCTCAGCAATTATGAGTGTTCTGGCAAGGCCTCCAGCACCTTCCTGTGTCCTGGTGGCAGCAGTAGGAGAACGTGCTTACATATTAATTGTTCCGAAGGATCTGATAGGAGCTTGTGAGAACTCAAACTCCCAGAGGAGGGGGCCGAGGAAGAAACAAACTCCAGCAGAAACAACTCCAGTTCCATGGATGGTAGGAGTTCCTTAAAGTGCCATAAGAGTGGCTATTGATGAGTATGGCACATTCATAGATCAAGTGTTTATTAGAAGGACACTGCCCATATATGAAAATGCTTTGAATATAGTTTGTATTTTCTCAATAAAAACTGGAAGAAAACAACACAAACCACTGCTTAAACTGAAATAGAATCCCTATTCGCAGTGCCCTTATTTGGGTCTCCATTAGAGGCGGGAGGGAAAACTATCGTCTGTGTTGTAAGTAGAATGGCAAAGACAAAAATCAACGGCTGCTCATACAAAAAGTCTGGAACTCTCGTTTGAGTTCTGCATTCATTAGCATGGCCTTCAGAGGCAAGTTGCAGAATCTGAACAAAATAGCTCTCTCTCTTTGCATGCTGCTTTCCTATTGCACAAGGAGGGAAGCATCAGAAATGTTGGCCACAGCCAGGCATTTTGCTCAAGGGGAAAAAATGTAATTCTTTACACTTTATTAACTGATTACACCCTTGTTTTCTATGATAAAATTACATGGTAAACAGCACCTGCAGATTACAGGGATCTCAGCTGGAAACAATTTGCTCACAGTGAGCCGTGAGGGATATATCCATTATTGCTACTAACTCTCCGGATATTGCTACAAACATATTTTTTCCTAATATCTAAGCACACAAAATTATTGGGTGTTTTTTTCTTTTTACCATGACATAGAATAATTTAATTCATTATATATTTCATGGCTAACGTATTTGATAGTATGAATTACTCCTGAGCTTCTTGAGGGTATACCTAGAGCCTACCTCTGGGCCTGGCACATAGTAGGCTCCTAATAAATATCTACCTGCTGAAAGAATAATAGGACTAACAGTAATTCATTCCTTAATGACAGCATTTTATTTCACCTTAACTGGACCTCCTTTCTTAGAATCAACCATGGAGACATGGTCTAAGGACTCATTATACTACTGGCAGGAATCAAATCAAAGGGATCTTAAGAATGAGAGGTTCTCTAGGTCAGTGGATCTCAAACTTTGGTGTGCATCGGAATCACTAGGCATGAGTGTTAAAATATAGAATCCTGGACCTTTCCCTCCCCAAATTTAGATTGAGTAGGCTGAGGTGGGGCCCCAGGATCTGTCTTTCCAACTTGCTCACTACGGGATTCTGATGCAGGTAGTCCTTGGACCACATTCTGAGAAACTGCTGTATTGTTCATTCCTCAAGCTATTCATTCTTTGGAGACTGAAAAGGCAAAATCCTTCTTTGCCACTGGTAAAATAGGGCTCTCACATAGTGTTTTTCACCTCTTTTCTGTCATTCCTTACAGATAATCTGGTTATAGAGATCTGTACTTCATCTGTCCAAAGAGGAGGCAGGTACCTACCAGGCTTTCTAAAATTGACAAATCACC